TAGTCATATCTGTAGCCTAGTTTTTCCCTGGTGGTCTCCAAACAACTGATTGGGCCATATCTTGCTTATCTGTTTTAGTTCAGCCAAGGCTGCTTAGCTGCTGCCAACACCTCTCTGGATATAGCTAAAGTAGTTGATAGTTATCTAGCATAAAATAAGAGTATACTCAATAGATAGATAGCCCATATAGATGTATAGGTGGATTAAGGTATCTGGTAATTTACTAGTTCCTAACTCCTTGATAATATGTATTAAAGTTATTGTATTGTTTTGATTAACTTGGCAGTAAGAAAGTTTGGCTTCTTCTTTTACACAGAACTGAACATAATTCAGTTTTATGAGATTAAGTTTACATTTAATATATTTATAATAACTTCATGTGAGTTTTCAGTCAAGGCATTTCATGCTATAACTGATTTTCTTTTTTATTTTATGTATTATCAAAAATATGAATTTTATAACCTACTTTGTCATAACTGACTATTCTGCATATTTCCTAATTGTACCATAAGGGTGATTTTTTGTTTCTCATACTGGGAAGTGTTTAGAAGAAAATTAGGAAGTATTTCATAAAGATACATGCATATTTAACTTTCAATTTTAATTCTCTGTTCTGAAAATCTTTCTTCTTTTAGAACAAATTCTGCAACACTGCCAATGTCCTTACTGGGCTTTATCCATAGATCCTGGGTTTAGCCATCATACTTGTCCAATTACAAATATACCCCATGCTTTCATCTTTTCTAATTAGTGTATGGTTAACTATCACCGTTGTAGCTGTAGTTATCACTAGGCATGGGTAGATTTTAAACTGAGATTGAAGCTAAAATTAGAAATCTGGTTTTATTTTCTACTTTTATGGCTAGTTATATTAAATAACTACTATGATTTGCTGATTTAAATATACAATTTTAAAGGGGACTTTGTTTATCAGCACAGAGTGGGAGTTTATAAGCTTAATGTTACCCCAGTCACTAAATCAAGATTTTGGGATTGGGAAGAGCAGATGATTAGCTCAGCCAAAGACCAAGCATACGTAAGCATATAAAAATAGAACACAGGACTGTATTTAAGTGCAACTATATCTGTATCTGAATAAAAGATCCACAAAGTAACTACTTTATTAAATGACTAATAGCAGTAGGAATGAGCAAAATGTAGCTACCCTTCAGAAGATTGAAAAATATCTATCTGCTTAAAGGAGAATGCTTTCCTCTGCTGAACTATTATGCCTGTTAGTTAGAAGGGGCAATATTAGATTTGTCCAACAGGCTGAATAAAAAGGGCAGCACAACAGTACATATGAAACAGTCTCTGTTTCTCTCTCTGGACAAGGCCATAGACAGGTGAGATAAGCCAACATACATCCCTGCTTGATTTGACTTGAGTGATTGGGTCAATATAATCATTGAACCAGGTCTTATTTGTAGAAATAAGTAGAAACAAGCTTAATGACATGTGATAAGAGCCATAGTAAATTAGCTTTGAAAAATACCTGGGAGTATGTGTGAGATAATTCTTCTTTGCAGAATATGGGTCCCCAGTATTTATGACTGCATAGATTATGAGAACATTATCCCCCAATGTTAAGAAGTACTTAGAGATCAAGACCTCATTAAATACAAGATAGGTTTTCAGTGGTTTTGTGCATAGAAGTAACTCTTTTCCCCATAGTAAACATATTTTCAGAAAAGAGATTTTAAATTTGGAAAACACTGGGGGGAGAAGACATGTACTCCTCTCTAGTATTTGGGCCTTTCTTCTGTATTATAACATTTTGGGATTGCTAAGTGAGAATCCAATACATTATGGACATTTTAGGCTCTTCTGTTTGAACTCTACTGAACTGCATGCTACTGGCTGTGTTAATTCTGAGTGTAGGCACATAATGACGGGGGGACAGAAGTTGGTTAATTTCTTGTAATTGAAATACATTGCCTAGTTAGGTTCTTGAGCCAAGAATACTGTTCTTGTTGGCTGCTTTTCAGGAGCTGTTTTTCATGCAAGAGAATGTACATACATTAGATGCTATAGGAAATCTCTGTGAGAGAATGAAAGATAGTAATAGTTCTTATCTTGGTATATCAGTTTTATTAATTCTTTGCTATGTGTATTTTAATAGTTCTTTGATGTATGTACTTTATAAAAGCACATGTTAGATACTTGAACTCTTATCTTGCTCCAGTTTTGTGTCATGCACGTTCATCAAGCAGTTATCAACTACAGGTCACTTTTTGCCCAGTTGTAGCTATCACTGAAGTGGCTATTTAAAGGGTGAATTTCAGAGAAATTATTTTGGTTACCTCAAAGCCAAGAAAAGTATGTCTTCTAGGGTGCTTCAAGATTAACATTTTTCTTTTAATGAACACCCACTGTTATTGTTACTCACTGATTGCATAGAATAAATCTCTTCAGTGAATCACAGTTGTGATTATTGCTGTTTGTTTTGCCCCAGACTCACTTTCACTGTGCCTGGTAAAGTGAAAATATTGTCCCTTTCCTTGTACCATATGTTCCTTTTGGTTTCTTGTCAGTTTGTTGTTATTATTTTGATATAGTACTAGCGTTTTCAAAAGTAGACAGTTTGAGAGATCCTGTAGCAATATTTCTTCCTTAATTACATTGACTAATATCGATTGGAGTTTTTTGCTGGTAAGAAAGGAAGCAGCTACTTTGTTTGCAATTCTTAGTTCAAGCCACAATTTTTCAGGATTTTAATATAAGGAGTGTTAATATGGCTTCCCTCTCTTCTTTGAAATTTCATTGAGGTTTTTTTTTCTTTTTTGTAGCTTAGCTTCAATTAACTATGAGTTTCCATAATTTATTTTAGTTTTTCAATGTCTTCCCGATATACATTTTTAGTTCCTTGTTGCCTGACTATTTTGCAAAATACACCACTGAAGCTTGCAATGTATTGCCTTTGCTAATTTTTCTCCATAATTATTTCCCTTTTCTCTGAAATTTCAATAAATTCTATTCTCTGATAGCTGCAAGTCACAGGTACTGGAGTGGGAAACAAAGGACAAAATGTACATCAGAGTGCAAACCACATCATGTACATGCATATGTCAGGACAGAAATACGAAAGGCTGGTATTTGCATCATGACATCACAACACCCATTTTGTCATTTTCATGTCCTTGCAGTTTGTGTTAGATGCCTGTGACTAAGTGTCATCATATTCATTTCTAGGGCATAACATTTAACCAATGGTGTTATTTCCAGACCCTGTGATTGAGTTTATACTTTGTTCTAATGAACAAAGAAAATAATTGGTTTGGTTTTTACCTAACATTCTAAGAAGTAATCCACAGCTGACAAATCACTTTATTTAGGTTCAAACAATATCTTATGTTGTGGTTTGTTTGATTTTGTTCAGCACAGTGTGTGAACCCACTATTAGATGCATTATTGAAGGCAAAGTATTGTAATGTTGTGCTATTTAATTATATTGGCTTGGAGTTTTTCGTGTTACTATTTTGATATTATTTCTTTAAATTGCAAAGTCAAGTGAAGACCTTGGTGATAAAAACAGAAATGTAGTGATATAGAAGCACTGCCAGTAGTTTGTTTTTGGTTTGGTGCAGCTTGTTTTAAATAGAAGCACTGATATTGCTATACTAATAGGGCAGTAAGGTTTATCAAGTCCAAAACTTCCACTGAACAATTAGAACCTTTCCCTGATGATATCTGTTTACATGCAAGGTTTCTGTGTCCTCTCAAAGAAAGATTTGTGTTCTAGTTCAGGGAGATTATGGTAGTCTAGACCATATATATGACTGGAAGGAAATGGCAAAATATAAGTAGTAAGTCATTGACTATTTCTTCTCACTGTTCATTTGAAGGCTGCTTTGATTATGCTGAGTTCAAAAGATACTGCTTTTTGTTACAGTTTCAAATTTCCTTTTTTGTTTGTTTGGGGGTGGGAGTTTGGTCATTTCCAGTGTTCAGTCATGTACAATAGAGTACCTAGAGTTTGTCCTTTATTACTTGAATAAAAAATGTGGGTCACAGAACTGAGATGTGCTAGACTTTGTGTCTGAAGGAGAAATAGCTGATGGTTATTAGAAATCACTGTTCTTTTTTAGCTGATAGCTTTAGCATTCATGCATATGTGGGATCTTAGGAAGTTTGTAATTCTTTTCTGAACATTTAAGGTGAATCTCATTTATTTTTGCCTATATTAAACATGGATAGAAAGAATATTTACGAAAACAGATACTAGTGTTATAGTGCAAGATCTGTTTTTGTTTTTGTTTTATTGCATTGTTAGTACTCATTTTCTTTAGCCAGCCTAGGGATTTGCACAGTTCTGTGGAAGGAGGCAATTAGCAATGTACTAATTCTTTAACTGATTTATTTTGCAAGCTGCTCTGAGAATATGATTGAAGGGCAGTGGAACAATTATAATAAATTAAGAGAAGGAGTTGCTGCTTAATATTTTTGAAAGTGAAATGAGTGTGTGGGATATCTTATGAATGTGGTCCCTGTTCTTTTTTCAGAAGATCAATAGCAGTATGAAGTGATTGGCTCAAGATGGTGGTAGAGTTGAATATTTCCCCTCTGTATTGCATTCCTAATTTAAATGGTTCTCCAGCTAATACTATATGCCTTGTAAGAGGAAATCTCTGGTTATCATATTTATAAAACTAGTAACACTATGAAACGCTAATAACACTAACTGCAGAAAGAATTACTGTAATGCTCCTCTTTGGATGGTTCTGATTTAATTCTTTCACATGCGCCCAGAAAGTTTTTAAAATTTGGCTGAAGATGAGAAAGAATAACACTTATGGCCTTCATTAAAAATAGTTGTTTTTGCTTGTTTATTCTTACTGGAGATGAAAACTAGTATAACCATATTATTTGCATGAGGCCAGGAATAGACGATCTGCCTTGTAGCTTTGGAAAGCTGACAGAGAGCTTACCTGAGACCAGGAGGATATCGTATGGTATTTATTAACTAAATAATATTATGTGTCCCCAACTGAATTTTACAGGTGATTCTTATCATGGATTGTGAAGAAATCCCAGAGTTTTCAACTTCAGAGGAAGAAGCTGCATACTGGAAAGAGCTTACATTAAAATATAAACAAAGGTATGATTCTGGTACTGGCTTATGAGTTTTACTCTAATACATTAATGCGTTAACATTGTTTTCTTTGTGATCCAGAAGCCTGAAGATGGAAGCCAAGGATCTCAAGTATAGAGTTATACTTGAATTGACTAGAGTTAATACTCTAGGATACATGAATAGAATCTCTATTGGAGGCGGCCTTGGCCTATATGAAATCTCTTTTTGCAAACAATGGGCCCTTTATTATTTCAGAAATGCTGCTAATTCAGACTCTTGCCATACTTATCTAATTTACTGGGAGTTTTCTTTTCTACAAGTTCTGCTTTTATTGAAGTATGGTTTTACTTCCAAGGCTATCTAATTTTGGTAAATAAAGTCATTCTTAGATAGTGGGAGACTCTGCCTCTGTGTTAAAGGCAGCTGAGAGGATCAGCATTAAGGCATTCCATGTCTGTCTTCTAGTATAGACTTCCACTAAATAGGCAAGGTAGTTTCATTTCCAAACTGTCCTGTGTTATACTCTTGGAGAAATCTGCTTGGATTTAATCTTTTTTTTTTTTTCAGAATTATCTCTCTTAACCTGACTTTACAGAATTTCAGCAGTGGCAGTTTCTCAGACAAATGACAAAGGACTTTCAGAAGAACTAGTTTTACTTTGTATATAAGATTTATGTAGAACAATGAACAACAATTCTGATCAACGTTAATCAAAAATAAAGGCCTGTACTATTGTTGCAATTGATGGAGAAATAATGTGCTTTCTAATATATTGACAAGTAGTGATATGCAGCTACTTAAATCCAAAGAGTAATAGATGCTTCGGAATGGAATTGGTGCATTGGCAGCATCTATTGATACTGCCATAAAGAAGCTTTTCCTGGGCTTGCCAGCAGCCCTGAAAATGTGCATTGGAGTTAAGGATATGCCAACAGAGTGTGACAAGGTCATTGTACCGTCTCACTGCTGTCTTAACTCCCTTGCAAACTCAGAAAAAAAATGCACCTTCGTTAAGGAGGTGCCAGTAGGTGCAGCATGGGTGCCCATGTCCCCTCAAAAGTACTACTTCTGCTTTGGAACTGAATAGCTTCGTATCCCTTTTAATAATATAAGAATCTTCCTGGAAAAAGCTCCACTCACTACTGTTATTCCTGTTACAGTTTTCAGGAGGCCCATGAAGAGCTGGCAGAGTTTCAGGAAGGCAGCAGAGAACTGGAAGCAGAGTTAGAGGCCCAGCTGGTACAGGCTGAACAAAGAAACCGAGATTTACAAGCAGACAACCAAAGATTAAAACAGGAAGTGGAAACCTTAAAGGTACAGCTGTGTCTTTGGGGCATGAGTCTAAATTGGAAAGGAGAAATGTCTTCTGCTATTACATCATTCTTTGCTGTAGAACAGAGCACTTAGATTGCACATCTAGCTAAATGTATGCCATTCTCGTTTTCGGGGTTTTTCACTCAGTTGTTTGATAAAATTGAAGGTTAGCTAATCTCAACCCAAATCAATGTGTTATTGAAGAGGTGAGGTTTCCTTCAGGAAAGGATGAAATCACAGTTGTGTCTTGTAACATGAAGAGGTTCAGTTAACTGTTACCTGTTCAGTCCAACTGTTGTTGACCTGAATGATATTTCATGCTAAGTCCAACAATTTCATGGCCTGAGTCTTCCAGAGCACTTTTTTTCTTTGAGATCCAAAGCATTGTGTACCCACATTAGGATGGTAGTGTAGAAATGTATTTAAACTTCTTGGATTAATTTCAGAGGTATAGAATTTTTTCATGTCCTATATTTTCAGGAGAAGCTTGAGCACCAGTATGCACAAAATTATAAGCAAGTGTCTTTATTGGAAGATGACTTGAGCCAGACTCGGGCAATTAAAGACCAACTGCATAAATATGTGAGAGAGCTAGAACAAGCCAATGATGATCTTGAGCGTGCTAAGAGGTAAGGAATGTTGGTGGTAGTCAGTTATCTGACTGAAGAAAGCATTCATTGCTCAGGTTTTTATTTTCTTAGTGCTATAAAAAATTACTTGATATTGGTGCAGTTGTGCAACTAAAACAACCATAGGGTTTATCAGATACCTAAAACTACTTTCACTTGATGTATTTTCTGCTGAAACTAAATTTTGAAATGTCCAAAAATCATAGATCAATGTTAAAAACAATCAAACATCACATTTTCCTCTTTGATTTTTATCCAAATTCTTTTACACAGTTTTTATTTAACAAAACCTAATGATTCGTTTGAATAGGCAACAATGTTTGTGGATGATATTGGAGTACTTTTTCCTAGCATGTTAACTAATATTCAGAACATTCTGTAAGAAAATTAGTCAATAGGTTTAGCTCTTCTAGACTCTATAGGAGCAGATTTATGCCATATATACTAAAGTATATATGTATCACTACTTTGCCACCTAAAATAGCATCTCACAGGTAGGTACTGTATATGTGTGTGTGTATGTGTGTATTTGATACAGAATATTAAGAAATCTATCTGAAGTAAGATAGTGGCTTGAAACAATTTTTGAATCCACTGTATACTTATTACTGGCATGGAGATCTGCCATCTTGTTCTGCATTGTCTTTATTTACCTACACAACTAGCTCCTGGAATTACTTATATTTTGTTTGAGCATTTTCTCTTTGTCAGATATTGAATCCTATGTTTCTTGATGTTTCTTTATTTATCTCCAGTAGTTAAATGTCTACTAAATAGTTTTTTCTCCTGATTTTTTTTTAATTTTTAGGGCCACAATTGTTTCTTTGGAAGACTTTGAACAAAGGCTGAATCAAGCCATAGAGAGAAATGCCTTTTTAGAAAGTGAACTGGATGACAAGGAATCTCTGCTAGTTTCTGTGCAAAGACTGAAAGATGAAGCCAGAGGTACTGCTTAATGAATAGCTGCTAATTAATTTTGTAATAATGATGAACTCTGTCTAAGGTTATAATAAAGTTGCAAGAGAACTTTCTAGTATAGGAATAAATAAGGTTTCTGGGATCTAACCTGAAGTACAACTATAAAGTTCATCTAATGAATTGTTCATATTTTTGTGGCTATTTCATGAACTATGTCAAACAAGCATATGTCTGATTGACAAGAAGCACATTCATTTAGGCTTCTTTGGCATCAGATCATGTGATAGATCCATCCTTGTCCCTGTTTAGGCTGTGAAATCAAACCAAGCAACTCCAAGGTTACATTTGGCCTTAGTGACTTGTTCTGAGGGATACGAGTGTCTCAGGAATGAACAGAATAGTAAAATGAATGGACTGGGTAGAGGGAAAAAAATTTTCTACTCATAGCTAAAATACACAAGTTTGCCATATTTTTTTCTTAAATCTTACAGATTTAAGACAAGAACTAGCAGTACGGGAAAGACAACAGGAAGTAACCAGGAAATCTGCTCCTAGTTCTCCAACCCTGGATTGTGAGAAGATGGATTCAGCAGTCCAAGCTTCACTGTCACTGCCAGCAACACCTGTTGGGAAAGGCTGTGAAAACAGCTTTCCCTCTCCAAAAGGTAGAGCACATACATGTACCTGTTCTGAATGTCTGAATGCTTATACTGCAAATGGAAATTGAGCAGTTTGATTATTGATATCTATATGTATAGCTGATTTTTATTCTCAAAATATTGGGTCAGAGAACAACAATTGAGTCATTTAAGGAAATCATTTTGTCTGTCATGTAACTTTTTTTCCTTTTGCCCCTGTTTCAGATATAAAATCTGACCTATGTAATAGAAATATGGATTATGGGTTAGAACACTTTCAGATAGAATCTTGCTTTAGAAATATAAATAGTGGTGATAAGAAAGCCCAGAGAGGCCCATCCTTAATTTCATATTTGTATATTCATATATGTCTCAGAATATTTCTATTTATTTTATTTATCACATTTATACAGTTGCCCATCTCACACAGCGACTCTGAAATTATGAATATGAATATGAATATTCATAATTTCAGAGTCACTTTGTGTGAGATGGGCAGCTATATAAACAAGATAGATAGATAGATAGATAGATAGATAGATAG